TATTCATCACACTTCTATCAATTATAGATGCTTCAGGGCCCAAATCAAAAATGCAGTTTATCAATATGATTGTGATTTTGTATAATATGTAAATATTATTTTTATTTATATGAACAATAGTTCTTTTACGGATTTGTAAAAGTTCTGAACATTGATTGCTGTTTTGTATTTAAGACTGCTCATTAAAAAAAATTCATTACACGAACACAATTTAAATGACAAGAAATCTAAATTAGTTGGAACAAAATATAGGTGTTTCACTTGTAGTCATATGTTTGATAAGTTATTTTCTTTTGAATGAACAAATATTTTAAATTAAACAAAGAGAAAACTTATAGTTGTTAAGTTCAATTATATATCAAATTTAGTTAAAACAAAATTAGTTTTAATAGTAGTTTGAAAGTTGGTGAGTAGTAATGAGTTTATATATAAATATTAATTTATAGATTAGCAATTAATTTTTACATATATTAAATTAGTAAATTTTTAAATTAAATCATAATACGTTTTTCGAATACGTTAAAATAGTTTAGATATATGACTATATCAAATTGATATTAAAAATATTAATTTACAAGTAAAATAATTTTACTAAAATAATAATTAAATATTTATGAAAACAATTCGCGGTAACATCCCTAGTTTTTAGAGTAAAATTGATGAGAATCGGCTCTCATATGAGAGACTAGGAATATGAGAGACTAGGAGAACCTCTCAAACAGGACACATGTCACTTTTTAAGTGGTTTAACTTTTATTCTAATAACTTAAATTTCTCATAGTTTTAAAACTTAATTAAATCATTTATATGTTATAATTTTTTATTTTCTATAAATTATAAAATAAAATTATCTATCTAACAAACTCCATATATATATATTAAGTTTAAATTATAAAATAAAATTATATTTAATTAATAAAAGTTAAAGTTAATAAAATAATATTTTTTACTTAAAAAATAATACAATTTCGAAAATTAAAAAAGTAATATTATAAAATAATATTTAATTATAATTTTTTTCTATATTAAACTCTATTTCTTCATCTTTTTACATACCATAACAGTTCTTCCTTTCTTTTTCTTTTTTTTTCTCTCTTTTTTTCTTTTTTTCGTCACTAATTTCTTTCTTTTTCTTTTTCTTCTTTTCTCTCTTTCTTTCTTCTTTTCGTCACTTAATTCCTTCACTTCGTTAAATTATGGATTCAAACAATCCATTTCATTTCTCAACAAATTTCATGGATCTTCTTAGTACTCAACAAGAAGGAAACACTACAAATCATTTTCCTTTTGTTCTAACTTTAAACCAAATGAGTCCACCAAAAATTCCACAATATAGTACCCAATATAGTACTGTGGGTGAGGAGAGTGATGATCCAAACCAACTTCAAAATACAACCGATCGTAGAGAGACAAGATGCGCAAATGGAGTCCAAGCGAAGATACCATTCTCATTAGTGCATGGCTAAAAATGAATATATTTAATATAAAGTTTGATATTTGTAAAATATATTAATTAGAAAAAATAAATTTAGTTACACTAAAAATATTAATATTATATTGATTAGAAATTTAGTGAGTCTCTTATCAATGGAGGTAAAAAATTAAGATAAAGTTCTTAAACAAAACTACATTCATAATAATAGTATTATAATAAGGGGGAATTGCTGAATATGACTCAAAACTTGAGTTGAAATGCAAAACTAGACCCTCTATTGCATGTTGGACAAAAATAACTCACAGGAGTAGTGAAATTACAACTTTAACTCTTATGATCAAACAAAAAAACGTCAACCTCAATTACTATTTTATCATAGAGAAGTCTACTCGAGAAGTTAAGTAGACTTCTCGAGTAGACTTCTCCAAGAAGTCTACTCTTTAATAATATGTTTACAATTAATTTTAAAAATCATAAAAGATAATTTGATAAAAAAAAAAGTAGATACATAACAACAAATATATAATTTTTTACACCTATTAAAAATAAAATTTGACAGAAAATAATCAATTTAATTCATCATAGATAAATTATGATAAAAATCAATACTAGGAGACTTCTCGAGTAGACTTCTCCAAGAAGTCAATTTAAACGAATTTTTTTCTACATATATAAGGATAGTTTAACCTAATTGTATTAACAATAAAGTCTCTCTCTATCTAAAAATTGCTTCTCTCTCTTCTCCCTTCTCTCTGGCCATGAATTTCTTCTCCTTCCTCTCTTGCTATCAATATCCTCTCCATCCTCTCTATCTTGCATTCAACCTCCTCTCACTTGCAGGTTATGGTAGTGGTAAACAAATCTGAGCTTTTGTGTTCCTCTTTTTGTTTGCTTTGTGTTCATATTACAAATCCGAGCTTATTATTATAGTTTTGAGCTTATTGTTGTAGATCTAAGTTTATTTTTGCAGATCTGAGTTTATTATTGTATAAATTTTGTAGATTTTGTTAACTTTTTTGTTATTATTGCAGAGCTGAATTTTGTTGATTTTTGTACAGATCTGAATGCTATAAATATAGTAGATTATTATTATAAATCCGAGCTTATTATTATAGATTTGAGCTTATTGTTTTAGATCTAAGTTTATATTTGTAGATCTGAGTTTATTGTTGTATAAATTTTGTAGATTTTGTTGTAGATCTGAATTTTGTTGCAGATCTAATTTTTTTTGTTATTGTTGCAGAGCTGAATTTTTTTGATTTTTTTGCAGATCTGAATGTAGAATTCTCGAGTAGACTTCTCGATCTCGAGCAGACTTCTCGAGTAGACTTCTCGATCTTGAGCAGACTTCTCGAGTAGACTTCTTGATCTCGAGCAGACTTCTCAAGCAGACTTCAATTGCATACATAATTTTCAGAGATTTTAGTTTAGTAGTAATTTCTTATGCCAGTTTTAAGATTTATAATTAGTGATCCTTAAATGTTTGTTTGTTTAGAGGGTTATTTTCTATGTAATATTGAATTGCATTGAATGTTTTGTATCAAATTCCTAAATTATCTATGTTTATCTATTCTACAAAATAGACTTCTTCTATCTCGAGTAGACTTCTTAAAGACATTAATTTTACATAACTTATAAGTGATCCAGAAGGACATTTCTCCCATTTATATCATATAACTTGTCAACCGAGTAGACTTCTCTTGTCTCGAGTAGACTTCTCCTGTCTCGAGTAGACTTCTAAAAGACATTAATTTTACATAACTTAAAAGTGATTCAGAGGGACATTTCTCTCATTTATATCATATAACTTATCAACCGAGTAGACTTCTCTTGTCTCAAGTAGACTTCTGAAGTAGACTTCTTCTATCTCGAGTAGACTTCTAAAAGACATTAATTTTACATAACTTAACGGTGAAAACATTCGCCCTCCTTTGCTATTCGCCCTCCTTTGCCAACATTCACCAAGAAGCTCACCATGTGTGCAAACCATCTCTTAAGAACAACATTCACCATCCTTTGTTATTATCCACCTCGAACTGCCATACTGATTCACTCTTAACGCATTATCCATAAACAGCGAGTATGTAAACCATTCTCTGTGAAAAATGAACAAAATCCAAACCACATTAGACATCAAAATTGAATAAGTAGACTTCTCTGAAAGTCAGATGAAGTCTACTTAGTAGACTTCTAGAGTAGACTAAGAAGTCTACTCTTATTAAGCTAAGTATCATATAAAACATGTAAACTGATTCGACTATACCTATAAAATATAAATATGTAAAACTTATACATAAGCAAGAAAACTTAATAACAGAAGCTTATGATCATGAAAATCTTAAAAATTCGTTATATATTGTATAAAAATGATTTTTTTTTAAAAAAAAAATAAGGTAGACTTCTCAGATAAAAGTAGACTTCTCGCAGGTTAGTTTTGCAATTGCCAAAAGTTTAGTAGACGGAGAAGACTACTTTTGTAAGTAGACTTCTCGCAGGTCTTTTTTGCAATTGAAAAATATTTGACTTTTTGGTCAATTGCAAAAATGATCTGCGAAAAGCCTACTTACGAAAGTAGACTTCTCGGAGAAGTCAATTTTCAGAGTAGACTTTTCGGGGAAGTCTACTTTCGTAGATAGACTTCTCGCAGGTCATTTTTGCAATTAAAAAATATTTGACTTTTTGGTCAATTACAAAAATGACCTGTGAGAAGTCTACTTACGAAAGTAGACTTCTCGGAGAAGTCTTCTCGCAGGTCATTTTTGCAATTGACCAAAAAGTCATATATTTTTCAATTGCAAAAATGACCTGCCAGAAGTCTACTTACGAAAGTAGACTTCTCGGAGAAGTCTACTTGCATAGAGAAGTCTACTCTACAAAGTCAAAGGTTGGTCAATTGCAAAAATGATCTGCTTCTAAAGAAGTCTACTCGAGAAGTCTACTCTATTTTTTTTGTTATCAAAGGAAATGGAGTAGACTTCATTCGGACCAAAAGAAGTCTACTTTTTCATGAGGTCAATTGCAAAACTAACTTGGACGTTGACGGGTAGACTTCATTCGGACCGAGAGAAGTCTACTTTCAGAGCATTTTTGTAAATAAGTGAGGGAGACGAGGATTAGTTAGTCATTTGGATTTCCGAAAATAAAAAAAAAAAATTAAAAATAATGGCAATTTCGTGAATAACTGAAACTATGAAGGATTTTTTAGTCACAAAATGGCAAATGTTGGGAAAGTGATTTTTGTGGGTTAGATTTGCAGTTCAAATCAAATTTTAGGTCATTTTTGCAAGAATCCCTTATAATAATGAGAGACTTATTGAGTCTCTAACCAATGTATATGCTCTTATAAAAGGAAAAGGACTCTCGCGATCCAATAAATTTGAACCATGGCTTTGTTTCTACGTAACCAGCCTCTTATAAAAGGAAAAGGACTCTTGTGCAAACAGCCACACAAGCCAGAATATAAAAGACTCTAAAAATACCTTCTTCCTAGTTCCTAAGCAGCCTTCTAGGGTTTTTGCCGATCTCTCTTTAACCTAGAATCGTTCTTCTCATCATCATCTTCGCCATGAACATTAAATCCGCCACCAATGCTGAAGCAGCTCCTTCTGTGATTAAGGACACGAAACATAAGGAAGACATCACGACTGAGAAGAAAATATCTGATACGATGGAGATAATGGAAGGATTTGGTGTTCGTCTTCATAAGATCGAAGAAAAGATGGATCTGTTGATCTCATTGATTATGTCAAACCATGATGATAAACGTGTCTCTGTAAAGGCCGAGGCGGAGAGCATGCCTATGGATGAATCATACTCTGATGAGGAACCTGCTAAGATTGTCTCCCATGAAAAGAAGGTCGGGGACTACCCATCTAATCCTTTTTTCAGTCGTCCTAGTGGTGGTCTTTTTGTCAATGAAAAGAAGATCGGGGAATACCCATCTAAGCCTATTTTCAATCGTCCCGGTGGTGGTCTTTTTGTCGGTGGTCATTTTTCCGGTGGTCGTTGTGGTGGTCAAGGCCTCTGTACCTTATGTTGAGGTTTTGGTGGCGGAGGAACAGACCTAGTTTTGCTACTCAGCTAAGAAGACGACTATCTTCAACGATTAGGAGTGGAATGCTTTTATTGCTTCTTAGAAGAAGAGGAAGCTCTTTGATGTTTTTAATATATATTGGGATTCTTGCAAAAATGACCTAAAATTTGATTCGAATTGCAAATCTAACCCACAAAAATCACCTTCCCAACATTTGCCATTTTGTGTCCAAACAATCCATTATAATTTCAGTTATTCACAAAATTGCCATTATTTTTAATTATTTTTTTTATTTTCAGAAATCCAAATGATCAACTAATCCTCATCTTCCTCACTTATTTACGAAAATGCTCCAAAAGTAGACTTATCTCAGTCCGAATGAAGTCTACTAGTCAACGCCCAAGTTAGTTTTGCAATTGACCGCATGAAAAAATAGACCTCTTTTGGTCCGAATGAAGTCTACTCTATTTCCTTTAATAATAAAAAAATAGAGTAGACTTCTTTATAAGCAGGTCATTTTTGCAATTGACCAACCTTTGACTTTGTAGAGTAGACTTCTCTATGCAAAGTAGATTTCTGGCAGGTCATTTTTGCAATTGAAAAATATATGACTTTTTGGTCAATTGGAAAAATGACTTGCGAGAAGTCTACTTACGAAAGTCTACTTTAGTTTAATAGAATTTTACATTCTCTCAAAGAAAAAAAAAAGAAAAAAAACGAAAACCCAAATATATATGGGGGAACTTTTTACAATAAATACATTTTGTTTTTGAGATTTAGATGAGTTTTTTGCTTTAACATTTACATACGAACCAGAGCATGGATTTAGATCAGTTTAAGTTTTTTTAGTTGTTTACGTTATAGTTGCGTTTTTTTTTTCTGATTGTGAAAGTATAAGTGCTTTTGGTATTAAAGAGTTCAATTGTGAGATCGTGAGTATTTGATAGAAGAGCACGTGTTAAACTCAGTTGTAAATTTGATTGTGAAGCGAACTAAACAAATTCTTAAAATTTCACACAAGTCCAAATAAAAGAATCATTATAGTTTCCTCTAAATATGTATAAAGCGAACCAAGTGGTGGTGGTCTAGTGGTTTCCACTTGAGGAAGAGTTGCCCTATTGGTCAAGGCCAGGAATCGATTTCTCTTAAGTGCAAAATTATTAGATTAATCTCTCTTACAGGAGATTAAGGTCTGGGATGTACCCTGAGTTATTAAAAAAAAAAAAAAATTATGTATAAAGCAGCAAATAACATATGACGTGAAGATGACATGTCTACAGACAAGTGTTGTTGTGGAAGAAACAAATAAACAAAAGCATTTTTCAACACTTAGATTCATTTGTTCTTGAGATACTACTTGAAGACGACCATAACTGAAATCTGCCTTAACTTTGCCAATCAAGTGATCTCATTTATGTTCTTGGAATGGTAATCGATCTCACTCTGTGTTAAACGTCATTCATAGTGGTTAGAGTCAAACATAATTTTAACAACTAGAGTCAAACTTCATTCATAGTGGTTAGAGTCAAACATAATTCACTGATAATCCACATGATAAACTGTAGTTCTAAAATATGAACTATGAAGAGGAAGCTGTTGACTGTAAGAAAACAGAGTACCAAATTGTTAAAAGATGTTTCTTTTGGGTCTCGGTCTGAAAAAACAGAAGAGTCCGTAAATTAATTCACATAATCCAAGATTTTATTATAACTTCGTTTTCTAAAAGAATACATGAATTGATCACAAGAACCCACAAGCACACGTACACGTGCCGTTAATAATACATAGCTTCAGAAATATCTTTGAGCTATAGTAACAATGTAATATATGATAGTGCAGCGACACATGCAATGTAGAAATATATAGCCACGTGAGGTCAATAAGCCTTCTCGCCTAACTCTCCATTGATAAGGATTATGACTGTAGGCCGCATGTCCAAACTTTTGGTTATAAAGAATTTTGCTGTACATGTAACTGTGATTGTTATATATATATATATATATATATATATATATATATATATAAAGTAAATTTTTTTCTCTTCTGGTACTATAACCTCAGTGACTATATCATTAATTGTTTTTAATTTAAATTCTTTTAAAATATAAAATAATATTAACATTCTATATAAAAGTTAGAAATAATAAAACGACAATTACAATATGTTGTCAAAAAATAAAATAAAATAAATCCAAAAAATCATTATATACATTAGCTTTGAAATATTTCAAGTTTTAAAAGCGTAAATTTACGAGTATGTGATGAGAATTAGTAATTAGTAAGACTGAAAATAATAAAAATTAACATTAACATTCAATATAAAAAATAACAAATATAAAAAGACAATTATAATATGTTGTTAGAAAATAAAAATAAAAAAATACATAATAACAAAACTAAAAAATAGTAATATACATTAGCTCTGAGTATTCCATGATTCAAAACGAAAATTTACGAGTGTGTGATAAGAATTGGTAATTAGAAAGATAGAAAATAATAAAAATTAATATTAATATTCACTAATATATATATGTATATATATAAAGTAAGCTTTTCTCTCTTCTGGTGTTGCCACCTCAGAAACTACATTACTTGTTTTCATTTAAATTCTTTTAAACACAAAATAACATTAACATTCAATATAAAAAAATATAAAAAGAAAAAAACAATTATAATATATTGTCGGAAAATAAAACAAAATAAAACCAAAAAATTATTATATACATTAGCTTTGAATATTTCAAGATTCAAGGTGAAATTTTACGAGTGTGTGATGAGAATTAATAATTAGAAAAACAGAAAATAATAAAAATAATATTAATATTCAATATAAAAAATAACAAACATAAAAAGACAATTATAATGTGTTGTCAGAAAAAAAAATAAAAAAAAAATAAAAATAGCAAAACCAAAAAATAATGATATACATTAGTTCTGAGTATTTCATGATTCAAGACAGAAACTTACGAGTGTGTGATGGGAATTGGTAATTAGATTGACAGAAAATAATAAAAATTAATATTAACATTCAATATAAAAAATAATAAACATAAAAAGACAATTATAATATGTTGTCAGAAAATAAAAGATCAAAAAATACTATAAAAAAATAGTGATATACATTATATCTAAGTATTTTAAGATTCAAGGCAGAAATTTACAAGTGTGTAACAGAAATTGGTAATTAGAAAGTTGGAAAATAATAAAAATTAATATTAACATTCAATATAAAAAATAGCAAACAAAAAAAATTATAATGCGTTGTCAGAAAATAAAAAAACTCAACAAAATATAATATAAAAATAATATAAAAACCCATAAATAATGATATATATTTGCTCTGACTATTTCAAGATTTAAGGCGAAAATTTACGAGTGTGTGACAGGCATTGATAATTAGAAAGACGGAAAATATTAAAAATTAACATTAACATTCAATATAAAAAATAGCAAACATAAAACATTAAATTATAATGTGTTGTCAAAAAATAAAAAAGTCAACAAAATACAAAAATAAAAATAAAAAATAATAATATACATTATTAGCTTTGAGTATTTCAAGATTAAAAGCAGAAATTTATAAGTGATATGAATTGGTAATTAGAAAGACAGAAAACAATTTTTAAAGGAAATCTAATAAAAATAGAACAGGAAATTCAGGTAACAAAACGAGTTCGAAAAATTGCATTATCTAAAATCTTTTCACAAATTCTCAATAATTTGAATGAAAGTCAACTTCAAAAAATTATTTTGGAAAATTTCCGGAAAGTCGAGGAAATTTAAAAGAAACTATAAATTTTTTTAATTATTAAATAGATAATTTGGATATGTAATATCATATATGTTCTTTTTTCTTATCTGTTTAAAATAAACCAAATAATCTTGAATGGATTTAAACCAAAACCACAATATTTCCAAATCAGCTTTGTTTCTACGCAACCAGCCTCTTATAAAAGGAAAAGGACTCGCGATCCAATAAATTCGAACCATGGCTTTGTTTTTACGCAACCAGCCTCTTATAAAAGGAAAATGCTGAATATAAAAGACTCTAAAAATACTTTCTTCCTAAGCAGCTTTCTAGGGTTTCTGCCGATATCTCTTTAACCTAGAATCGTTCTTCTCATCACCATCTTCGCCATGGACAATAAATTCACCACCAATGCTGAAGCAGCTCCTTCCGTGATGGACACGAAACATAAGGAAGACATGACGACTGAGAAGAAAATATCTGATGCGATGGAGATAATGGAAGGATTGGGTGTTCGTCTTCATAAGATCGAAGGAAAAGTGGATCGGATCGAAGAAAAGATGGATCTGTTGATCTCATTGATTATGTCAAACAATGATGATAAACTTGTCTCTGTAAAGGCCGAGGCGGAGAGCATGCCTATGGATGAATCATACTCTGACGAGGAACCTGCTAAGATTTTCTCCGATGAAAAGAAGATCGGGGACTTCCCATCTAATCCTATTTTCAGTCGTCCTGGTACCAGTGCTGGTATTTTTGTCGATGAAAAGAAGATCGGGGACTACCCATCTAATCCTATTTTCAATCATCCTGGTGGTGGTCTTTTTGTCGGTGGTCGTTTTTCCGGTGGTCGTTGCGGCGGTCAAGGCCTCTGTACCTTCTGTTGAGGTTTTGGTGGCGGAGGAAGAGACCTAGTTTTGCTACTCAAGCTAAGAAGACGACTATCTTCAACGATTAGGAGTAAAATGCTTTTATTGCTCTTTGATGTCTTTAATATATATATTTGGGTTTTCGTTTCATTTCTTTTTTTTTTCTTTGAGAGAATGTAAAATTTTATTCAACTCAAAGAGAGCTTTTTACAGTAAATACATCTTGTTTTTGAGATTTAGATGAGTTTTTTTGCTTTAACATTTACATCGAACCAGAGCATGAATTTAGATGAGTTTATGTTATAGTTGCGTTTTTTCTGATTGTGAAAGTGTAAGTGCTTTTGGTGTTAAGTTCAATTGTGAGATCGTGAGTATTTGGTAGAAGAGCACATGTTAAACTCAGTTGTAAATTTGGTTGTGAAGCCAACTAAACAAATCCTTAAAATTTCAGACGTCCAAATTAAAGAACGCAACTTCATTAGTTTCCTCTAAATATGTATAAAGCAGCAAATAACATATGACCCGAAGATGACATGTCTAGAGACAAGAGTGTTGCGAAAGAAACAAATAAACAAAAGCAAAGCATTTTTCAACACTTAGAATCATTTGTTCTTGAGATACTACTTGAAGACGACCATAACTGAACCAAAATCTGCCTTAACTTTGTCAATCAAGTGATCTCATTTATGCTCTTGGAATGGTTATCGATCTTACTCTGTGTTAAACTTTATTTCATGAGCTTTGCTCACCACCAATGTTCGATCATTAAGTAGAGATTGCCGGAAGAACAGATAACGAGATCAAGAATTACTGTAACAGGCATATGAACTATGAAGAGGAAGCTGTTGACTGTAAGAAAACAGAGTACCAAATTGTTAAAAGATGTTTCTTTTGGGTCTCGGTCTGAGAAAACAGAAGAGTCCGTAAATTAATTTACACAATCCAAGATTTTATTATAACTTCGTTTTCTAAAAGAATACATGAATTGATCACAAGAAACCACAAGCACACGTACACGTTCCATTAATAATACATAGCTTCAGAAATATATTTGAGCTATAGTAACAGAGCCGTGCAAAGGTTTTTAATCTCGTTGGCGAAAAACAAAAACAACATTTTTATTAAATAGTTATCTTAAACATAATTAATTTTGTGAAAAAAATATTAATAGAAATATTTATAAAAGAGATTTTAAATTATTTTATGTTTAGTGTATATATATAATTGTAATACATAAGATATAGCATTGTATATATAGTAAAACTTTTATAAATTACCTACATAAATTAATATTTTATCAGTTCTAAAATTAATTTATTAATTAAATAATATATTTATAAATTAATAATTACTATAAATTTAAATATTTTTGTAAAAGTTCATGATTCAACGTTATTAGTTTATAGAGATTATACTGTAATATATTCATTAAATTGTAAACTAAAGATAAGTAAAAAAAACAAAATAAAACATATAACAGAAAATAAGAAGTTGGTAAATTTTTTTTTTGAAAAAAAGAATAAATAATGTGGTAAAAATGAAAAAGGCAAAATAAATGTATGAATACATAAATACAAATAACAAAATTCAAAAGCTTAGTTGACTTTAGATTCTAAAAAATAAACCTTGGGATATTAATGGTAAGAACAGAAGCTTAGAATTTATAGATACACCATATAATATCAATCTATTCTATAATTTGCTTTCAAAATGTTTCATTAAATGTTGGGGCCGTGTTTCTTTAACTCCTTCGTAGGCACGGCCCTGTATAGTAACAATGTAATATATGATAGTGCAGCGACACATGCAATGTGATAAGTATCATTATAATCTAACGAAAGAGATATATGGCCACGTGAGGTCGATAAGCCTTCTCGCCTACTTCCCATTGATTAAGGATTGTGACTGTAGGTTGTCTGTCTAAACTTTTGGTTATAAAAAAATTTACTGTACAAACAATGATTGTTACTTTATATATTGTTTAAAAAATAATTGGTGAAAACTGTAATTATTACTTTTTTGATGAAATATTAAATTTACTGATCATCATAAAAAAATTTACAAAAAAATAAAAAATCATAGGTTAAATCATATGTTCGCGAGGAATAAAAGATAGAATGCTATGATATTAATCAAGTAGAATCACCAACTTCAAACTATTGGCATAGTAATCCTTCAAACTTGTAGGGATAATGCCATAATGGTAATGCAAGGAGACGATATGATTGCAAATTATTCTGTCTATGGCCCGTCGCAACTGCAGAGTTGTGACCTAACTGGTTTTGTGTCGACGAGCATTGTGCTCATGCTAAATCTTGTAGAGTGTTGCCTGAAACAGTAAATGAACTAGTATCGAATCCACAACTCCTAGCCTTGCTGAGGTGATGAACTCAAACGTTTCCTCTTAGTCAGGATTTGCTACAATACCCAAAAGAGTCCCCTACAAATCTAACCAAACTGTATATGTGTAATAGCATGAACAACGGGCGTTTCTTAGCAATTATCTTTTTTTTCTTAGCAAGTATCTTTATAATAAAAAATTATAAAAAAAAAGAAAAAATAAAGAGAGAAGGTAAGAATCGTTTCCTATTCAACATACTTTAGAAACGGTTTTTGTCCATATCTTGCCACATGTCTATTAATTAATAGTTTTTTTTTAATGTTTTAAATTTTAAATATAGAAATAAATTATATTATTACTATATTGATAAGATACGCTTCCAGCTTATGCTACCGTTGAGGATGGTCTAAGGACAGACCAAAAACAAATGGTCGCAAGTTTCATTTAGCCCACCACAAAAGAAACAGGCTTGTTGTAGCCCCAAGTTTGCATTCTGTCACTAGTCGCCAGTCCGTTTCTCACAGCAAGCCAAGCAATGAATGAGAAGCGATGAATACCTTGCATGAACCAAACCAACTTACACACTTTATCTCTTCGCTTTCTGACCTGGTCTCATGTGATTGCAAAAGAGAACTTCACCAGTAATCCCCATATGAATGCTTCCACAACACCATATCGTTTCCTTTATGCTCCGTTGGGATTGGTGTAGCTCGGATGAGAGCAACAAAGGTTCTTGGAGCATGCCATCGCTCACGCCCAAGATTCGAACTTGCATTACTTCTGGCCCCAGCCACCCTCGCATTCCAATGTATCCTAAATATGCGAGTTCCCAAGTCTTTAACAACATTTATTAACATCTCTTGTTTCAACCAATTGTCAAACCAGAAAAAAAGCAGTGTTTCTGTTATTGATTTCAAAACGAATAAATGGGTAAGCGATTGTTATTTTATAAATATTGTGATTTTTTTATCTAGAATAGAATGACAAAAAAATATTACAAACGTATATATGCAAAGTAAATAATTTTTATATGTTTATAATTTTTTTGCATATATGTAAAATAAATAAATCTAAAAATTAATCCAATATATAGTAAAATGGATTGGAAAAAAGTATAATCGTTAATTAATGAAAAAAGAATTTATGATCAATTAATAATAGTAGGTTTAGATATTGAATTTCATCTATGCGGGAAAGAAAAGAAAACAAAAATTAGTTTATGAATAGAGAGAAAATTTAAAGTGCTAGAAACCATGAAGATGTGACTACAGAAAAAAATGAAAACAATAAAGAAAAAAGAACTAGTGCATTCTATATAGTATAAGATTGTGGAAGTTGTATCTCAAATTTGTTCTAAATTGTGAGGTTATGTATATAACCTCTCTTCCTTGGAATTAAAGCATGTTGACCATTTCAGTCAATCATTTTTTTTGTCCTTCAGATTATAAGAAACTATCATAGTTATATAGAAATGTGTATAATCTACCATTTTCTATACCAATATAGAGGTAATATGCCCAGTAGTTAGATTCTATCGTTCACTTGTGTGAAAACACACCAAAAAGCTCATTCTTAGAAACTATCTTGGTCGCTTGGAACAAATTAGTAATCTTAATGTGTTTACGTTGATATCAAAAACATTCTCCCATCCAAACTTTAGTTAGTCTTCTTCTCCCATCCAAACTTTAGTTAGTCTTTCTATGTCAACAAAATTTTCAAGTTGCACATGCTTTCAACAATTGTCATGATATCAAAAGCCCCGACTCTTTAACATTTCTGTCAAATTTGGATTATTCAATGAATTCATTGTGTTTAATTTGCCTTTTTCGTTGAACAACTTGGGCTATCCGTATTTTGCTACAACATAAATATTTATTTATTGTCTGATAAGAACAACTCAATGCTCTTGCATGTGCCCTGATGCAAGATTGATGGTATTGAAGTTTCTTCAATTAAGTGCACATATTTTTTCTATTAGATTTACGTTATGTTTTAAGAAGGTAACTTCTTCCTCACAGCCTCTGGACTACTCCAATATAAAATAAACTTCATTGGGTTGATCGAAGACCGTTTTCATGCACACATGAGCTACAATATATCATATTCTCTCTCAGATTCAAGTAACAATCAATCACATTTGGATAGAAGAAATAAAGCAATGGCCATGATCACTTCATGAGTGGAATGAGAGAATTTTGATATATCGTAGCTTATGTGAGGAAGAGTCCCATCAGTCCAATAGTTCTTAATAAATTGGTGTAGGCTACATGGTTAAGATTATAAGAAACTATCACGGTTATGTGGAAATATGTATAATCTACCATTTCCTGTACGAACATGAAGTCGATATATAGAATAGTTAGATTTTGTCGTTGACTTGTGTGAAAAAAACACCAAAAAACTCATTCTTAGAAACTATCATGCTGGAATGAATTAGTAATCTTAGTGTATTTCAGTTGACCTTTAAGACATTCTCCCATCCGAAGTTTACATTGGTGTTTCTATGATGACGGAATTTTCAAGTTGTACATGCTTTCAACAAGTGTCATGATATCAGAGCCTCGACTCTTTAACATTTTCGTCAAAGTTGGACTCTTCATCAAATTTGTTGTGTTTAATTTGTCACCACGTTGAAGCACTTTGCTACAAGTATTTTGATACAACATAAGAATTTATAAAGACCGATATAACAACTTAACGCTCTTGCATGTATCTTGATGCAAGATTGATGATATTAAAGTTTCTCCGTTAAGCTGCATGTTTTTGCTATTAGATTTACTTTTTAAACAGAGAGATAATTTCGTCCTCACAAATCTTAAATTACTCCAGTCTAAGTCTAAGAAAAAATTATAATAACCGTATTTTTAAAAATAAAATAAATAATAAAACATAAATAATAATATTTGAAATCTGTTTTTTTATTATTTAAACCAAACGTCTAAAAACAAACCGGCATAAACCGTCTTAACTACAAATCCTATTCTATTTAAAATAAATATAAATAAAAGTCAAACTTGTCTTAAACGAAACTTCGAACTAAGCATAAAATAACCCTCAAAATCTAGCACCTGAACAATCGCCTTGAACTCTAGTCCTCAACCACTTCCTCACCTGAAAAGAGGAAAAGGGGGATGAGTAATGAATTACTCAGTGAGGTTAGTCATGTCCGCCTATATGATTCTCAACATCACTATTTAACAGCACATGCAAATACTAACTCTAGAGCAAACAGCAATCAACACAAAATTCTAATCACGGCTCACCAGCAATATACTAATCACATCACGACACAATGCATTCACAAGACAACTCGGCTGGTCGGACACGTCGAAAGGTCTTCCGCCACCACTGAATCAATATAAATGATCATGACACTAGGCTGGTCGGGTACCTCGAAAGGTCTTCCACCACCCTTTGGCTAGCCAGCCAGTTAACAGGCTTTAATGGGATCGCCATGTCCTCATTCTCAGTCTGACTGCATTGAAGTACATACTTCAACAGGATCGCCATGTCTTCGCTCTCAATCCGACTCCACAAAATAATAACATATACTTTCTACCAACACATCATATCAACTTAACTTTTCATCATCTAAACACCAAACAATCATTAATCATCATTTTCTCACATCATCACAATCAACAAACAATTCTCTAAATCTAGCATTTACGAATACTAATTAACTAGCAGCTTTAAGAATCCGCAGATCCCGCCCTCACCTTTGATTTTTCGGATGAACAGAAAAAATCACGATGACCAGAAGAAGATCCCACGACGAGAGGCAACAAACGGAGTCACTTGTAACACTGAAATAACAAATGCCGAACCAACGTGATAACAACCAACGGGAGGACAAAACTTGCGGCTGAAGCAACCAAAGAACGACAACATACATGTCATGTTCGCATAAATCCTCGAAAAACAAATGTAGCGGACTAACGCAGAAACTCAGATCTCTTACCACAGATGACTCACGGGCGATGTCTATGAACACTAGCAACAATCACAAGGGAAAGAGAAATTTTGCGGCCGAAGGTAACACAACAATGGCAGATCAATATTCAACAACTCACGGCAAAATGAAAGTAACATATATGATGAAGGGATTCAGACCTCTTACCACAATAATGAAACGACAAAGATGCAGCAACACGGAGGCAAACAGATGAAGAAGATGAAGCTTAGAGCTTAAGAAACTGCAACAATAGCGGTTTTACGTTACAGGTACTCGCGGATCAACAAACGGAGAAGGTGATAAGAGAAACATGAACCGCTTACCAACGGCAAGATTCAAGAACGACGGCGATGACTCGGAGCAGCAGAACGCCAGCGTTGGTGATCGGCGGCTGCGTGATCGAGAAGACGATGGCTTGGAATCGATTCACGGCGGCTTCTCCTCACGTCAACAGATTCACGGACGGCAGCTCTGGCTTGATCGGAAACAGTGACTGCGGCGCTCTTGGGATTAAGGCAGAGCTTTGCTGTCGATGATGGTGTATGCGGCTCGACAAGAGTTTTGTTGCAGCTTTTAATCGAAGACGATGAAGGGGGTGGAGCTAAATTTGGGCTGACTTGGGCTGGGGGGTTTAATTGGGCCTTTCCAAAATTATTTGGTTTTGGGTCGTTACAATTCTCCCCTGCTTTAGAAGAATTCGTCCCTGAATTCGATCCATTTTCTGTAAGTCCGCTCTTGTCCTTAAAGAGCTCGGGATAGTTAACTAGCATTTCTGATTCTGGTTCCCACGTCTCCTCGCGAATACCATCTCTTTCTTAACAGACTTACACTAACTTAACTGTTTTAACCTGAACTTGGATTTCTTGTCTATCTAGAATTTCAACCGGACTGCTTCGTACCGAAAAACTACATGTCAAATCAGTACACGGATGCGGAAGAATTAACTCTGGCTCTCTTACAATTTTTCTCAGTACCGAAACATGAAACACGTTATGGAAATCTGACAGTTCCTGCGATAACTCTAACCGATAAGCCACTGCACCAATTCTTTTTGTTATAACATACGGGCCCATATATCTTGGCTTAAGCTTTTTCAACTTTCGAGTCTTGTCATTTCCCTTACACGTTCTCATTTTCAAATACACTTCATCGCCCACTGTAAATTCCAGATGTTTTCTACGCTTATCTGCATAACTTTTCTAACGATCGTGCGCTTCTTTAAGTCTACTCCGGAGCAATTCCACTTGCTTGACTGTCTCTTGAACCATTTCCGGTTCTAAGTCTCGGCGCTCTCCCACTTCGCTCTAACAAAGGGGTGTACAACACGGTCTCCCATACAGAGCCTCGTAAGGGGACATTTCAATGCTCGAGTGGTAGCTGTTGTTGTAGGCGAACTCAGCTAAAGGTAGATATTTTCCCCACTTTCCTTCCCAGTCTAGTACACAGGCTCTCAACATATCCTTCAATGTCTGAATTGTCCTTTCTGACTGTCCATCATTCTGGGGATGATAAGCCGTACTGAGGCGTGCCTTTCATTCCAATGCTTTTTGAAATGCCTGCCAGAATATTGATGTGAATTTAGAGTCTCTATCAGACACGATGCTTGCTGGCACGTCATGTAATCTTATAATTACGTCCAAATATTTATGAGCCAGTTGATCCGCTCCATCCGTTTTCTTAATTACCAGAAAATGAGCAGACTTGGTTAGTCGATCTACGATCACCCATATGGTATTCTTACTATCGCTGGTCTTTGGTAGCCCCGTAACAAAGTCCATTGTAATCATATCCCATTTCCACTCAGGTAGCGGCAAGTTCTGCAACAATCCACTAGGAACCTTGCGTTCTGCTTTCACCAACTGACATGTTTGGCACTGTGA